TGTCCCGCGCTTCTTCTCCAGCACAGTGAATAACTCCACTGTAAGCTGTGTGTGTGTGTCACAGCTAGTTTAGTTGAGTTATTCGTGTTTTCGCACAGTTTCTTCTGCAGCGCTTTGCCCGTCTGCGTGTGGAGGCTACATGCTGCGTGCAGAGGGACGGAGAGATGGGAGAAACGAGTGTTTGTTTTCCATAGTGGAAGCTATGAGGGGTCAGAGGCCTCTCTTTCTCCTGACTTGCAATGACAGCATCAGGGAATTGGTGAATTTGCAGGCTCTGTTTGGAATTAGCTTCTTCTGTTCTTGCTTTCACCATCTCTTTCTCTCTGTCTCTCTTTCTCTCTGTCTCTCTCTCTCTCTGTCTCTCTCTCTCTCTGTCTCTCTCTCTCTCTCTCTCTCTCTCTCTCTCTCTCTCTCTCTCTCTCTCTCTCACTCTCTCACTCACTCACACACACACACACACACACATAAGCATACACATATTTACACAGACAAAGATGGATAGCAGGCATTAAGTGAGACACGTTCTGCTAATTCTCCATCAACTCCTCTTTTATATATACATTATAGTTGTAGTTGAGTCCCATTTTTTCTATTTATTTAAAACATTTTTTTTTACTTATTTTCCTTTGACTGTCTTCTTTCTTATGCAAGTGGATTATCTCATATCTAATCTCAAAAATGTCTCATGAAAAACGAAAAACGTATACTTAATAATCGTTAAAATTAAATAAACCATAAAGTGATCGCAGCAATACTGTATATGTAATAATAATGTGGTCATTATGTATTATAAATGTAACTACATTATATTTAATAATTTGGTCCGTAAGTGTTGTATACTGTACATAAGTATGCACTGAATCTTCTGGGCCTATTCCTGAACTCACCCTAACCTTAATCTTAGGAACCTTTAAGCGTAGGGCATAGGGCGTATGTATGTGTGCATGAGTGTGTGTCAGTCATCAGTGTTGAGTCTCAAGCCCGGCGATTGGGGAATGGCCAGGCCTGGCTTGTTCTGCTTCATTTTTACTATCACAATGGCTGGCATTAACATTCCTGGTCCTACATTATCACTGCCAGGCATGAGTAGCCAAAATCCGCTGTTCCACGGCACTACTAATTTGAGGAGTCAGGCATAACAAATCCACCTCTGTCCATCACACTGCAGAAAAGTCACCCACTGGACAGCTTGACAAACATTCAAACAGTGACAAAACAAGAGCGTTTTGATCTGCTGAGATTGTTAGTCAGTTCAAGTGAAACAGTACATAATTCATCAGCAAAAACTGTTCAGAGTTCTGTTCAGTAATAATGATTGTGGTTTTATTATATTTACCCAGTACAACAACGTTATGAGATCATTTTTCTAGAATGTTTAGCAAAAGCTTTTGCCCAGGTTGAATTTGTCCTGCCAGGATGAGTGCAATGTCCGGTAATATAGTCTGACTTCAGTGGACTGTGTGAAGAGAGAGAGAGGGCTTTAGTGTAGGGCTGAAGCACTTGGGTTAAGCACTGTTAGCTTTGGCATGCAGTGCACAGCAGAACAGCGCAACACTTTACTCACCTACAGCTGAAGTTTCACACTAGAGCCACTTTTATCTGTGTTTGCTTGATGACACATTGCCACAACTTCTATCAATCTTAATTAGGTCTGCACAATATGGGCAAAATACCATATTGAGATTATATTGCCAGATATTGTTACCGCAGTGTGCCTTTGATATACATCAAAATACAGTGATGAACCTTTGATGGGACATACTTACAAACCTGCCTGCATTCTTTTTGACCAAAATTGTTAGAAGTCGTTTGCTAGATTGATAAATGTGAATGCTTTGATGCAAATAAAACTCTCACAGAAGCTGGATTATCTGTGATTGGTCAGGGTGCTCACAGCACATGATAAACAGTGATTAATTTAGAGGCTTATTTGTATATTGCAGCCTTCTGTGGTGGTAGTATTGCAATGAGTGGACAAGCTAAAACTGAAGAAACTGATTTTATATGTAGTTGTTTAGGTTTCTGCGTAATAAATATTTTCTGCTTTTTTCATGACATAAAAAAATGAATAACTCATATTTATTAGCCATTTTGACTAAAATCAAATACATGAAGGGTGCTGTCTGACTTTTGCACATCACTGTATATCTGTCTGAGTGACAGAGATTGGCACATATGTCTTTATAAGTGTGTATTTGTTGATGTGTGTGTCCAGTAGATACAGAGTAAGCTGATGCTCTGTCAAAACTCTCCGTGCAGTCTGGCTGCCGAGAGCTAGCCTGAGCAGTTTATTAGTTTACCCTAAAAAACACCCCTACAGCTGGCTCACTGCGGTCTCACCACGGCCTACAGGCCTACAGACCGCTAAACTCTCTGAGGCACTGATTTACTGTCTGTGTACCCACATTTCTCCATAGATAAACACACCATTAAATCCCCGTTAAGCAATACGTTTATATCTCTGAAAACAAAGGCAAAGGGAAAATGTGGTTAGCTTGTGAAAAATTTCCAACTTCACCTAGAAATTTATTGCCCCAGTAATTTGTAAATTTTCCACCTTTATTGTTTGCTTTGTAGGAGTGTTTCGCTCTTAAAACATTCCGAGAAAATATTTTAAAGGTTTATTGTTTTAGAGTCATTTTTATGATTGCTGACTTTGATCTAATATGCACAGTATTGGTTTTGTTTATGTTTCAAATAGCTGTGAGTCAGTAAAGTACATTTGATTTCCTGATACATTAGACCAAAATGGAAATGATTAAAGTGTCATTATTAGTGAGAAAACAATATTTCCTGAGGGGCTGCTCAATTTCCACATGACATGAAAATGTCTGGTGCAATTATCTCAAATGTCGCTTAGCAACACACTTTGAGGCACAATTTTCTCAGGTGTCGCTTAGCAACACAGACCCGGTTGTTGAGTCGGGATCAGTGGAAACGTTAGGAGGGGGAAAGGCCATTTTGATTTCCAGTCATTTGAGATTTTCTTTTCGCCCATATGTTCTGTCAGACATCAAAGTCTATTGGGCTGTAATGGCGAACAGCTTAGCTAATTTGGGAACACCTGAGTTCTTTGATCGTTTTGACACTGATTAGTGTGTGCAGGCGTTCCTCAGGACGGCGCTTTAGACCCTCGCCTGGTTTGGGTTACAGGAAGGACATTGTCTGGGGCCGCTGAGTTTGGACAAGTGGCACAGGCATGTAGTGTAAATTGCAATGCGAGGGGGCGGCCCGGTGCTCTTTGACATTTAATGACAGATAGTTTCAGTGCAACAGGGCCAAACCAAACAGGCCCTGTGCGTCGGCCCACCCTATAGCCGAAACAGCAAATCTGTGTCTCCTGACTTAGGCTCTCCAGAACCACAAAACTATTGCTGCGTCTTTCTCTTCCACAATATTGACGCCTTTTCTGTCTGTCTTCTCTCTGTGACTCTTCTAAATAATTTCCAGGTTCATGAAATAATTGCAGAAGTTCATCATCTCTCAGCAGCCTTAAAACAGCAGCCTCCTTGCCGCTGTCAGCAGGATTTGTGATCTAGGATATTTTACTACAGAAAAGAAATGTTCACCTTAGAATGTTGTTTTAATTCTCTGTTAGATGAATGTGTGAGGTTTGAGGATTTTGAATATCATTACTTCATTAATGAAATGCTTTGTTGCTCCTTCTCTCGCCCAATCCAAACAGATAAATGCCTTCACAGTCCGTGTTTATTTAATTCATGGGTGTATTTTGGCTCTCGGGCTGATGGTGGCCTTTTCTTGGCCTTCATTTGAAAGCGCAGTGATAATTTGTTTTAGTTAAAGAATTTTTCAAAAGATAAGTTACTCCTGTTCCAGTTTGGACTTTTCCCCTTCAAGTCTACCAGGCTTTGACTAATGAACCCAATACAGACGAATGGATTTAAGTTTGCTTTTACACCAAGCACCATGCCATGCACTCTGATTTAAAGAGAAAAAAGAAGTTTCCTTTTGACTTTGCCTGTAAAAATACACCCTTGGCAAAACCTACAGCCAGGAAATGTTATAAGAAGACTGAAAAAGTAGAATGAATGAGTGATTCCTCTCCTCACTAATTCCCAGCCCAAGCTTTGAGTTGGAGAAGTGTGGCGCAAACATTTACCTAATACACAAACAAGCCTTCATGCTACTGTTTGTCCTTTGGTCTCTCTGGCTGGAGTGCATTTCCCCACTTCTTACACACATATACTTTAGTTAGACACATATAAGCACACAGAGAGATCAGTTGAGTGGGCAGGTATGTGGGAGCAGGTGGGATTAGTGGGCCTGAGGTGTATGGGAGACTTGCTCAGTGGCTAATAGTTAGCACTGCGTCGGATGGCCTATGTTGGACGTTGGTGGCCGACCGTCGCCTGTAGTTTGCATGGTGTGTCAGCTCTATTTTGGCTGATCGAGGGTGTTAAAATGCTGGTGGAGAGCTGTGAATCTGCACAAGGATAGAAATGAAAGAACAGTGCAAGTGAATGGCACTCGGAGAATAACCTGATCCTCACTAAGCATCACTAGGCATTTTAACCATTTTTGCTATTCAAATGTCCACATTTTTTAAACAAGCTGTATTTGAATATTGAATACCCTAAGTATGAATATTTAATATTTTTATGAATAAACACAGACACACACAAGCACTGAAGGTGCTCTGATAAGGTGCTAACATAAAATAAAGCATGGGATATGCACTCATTTTCATCATGCAGATATTCAAGTGCAGATTTTCACAGGAGACAAGAGGCGATGGGGAGCTGACAGAAGGCAATAATCAGCCTTAGTTGGCGCTAATTCCTTGTAGACCTGGCGTGTCTGGGCCCTTTTCATAGCCCTTCCTTCCTGTACTTCCGTATCATTGGACCACTCTAACTCACACACAGCCACATACACACATACAAGCATTTTCCTTCAATCAAAAAACAGCATTAATCATGTACATTCATTGTTTTATCTCACATTACCCTTTGACATATATCTGTTTGCTTGTGCTTTAGGCGGATATGATGTTCAGTTCTGGAGTGTTCTGGATGGGGCTGTTCTTCATTCCTGTCACCTCTCTGGTGTTTGATGTGGCCTACAAAGTGTGAGTTTTTTTTATCGGCTCTTCTCTGGGCTTGGCCTGTTCAATGTGTTAAATGTGTCAGAACAATCTAGTGGCAGTTTTTCACTTTTGTATTCTAATGACTATGCTTGTATAAAGACGCTGAGGTGATTCTGAATCTGCAATATTGTTTTTAGATATAAGTACAAAAGACGCGTTTTTACGTCTTATTTTGCATCTATTTGTGTCATATCTAGTAATGAACCAAAATGAAAAATCAAATTCCTTAAAAACTGGAGAGTGGAAAAAATAAAAAATGGAAAAGGAAACTTTTGTTTAATTTTGTTTGCCCTTTTAACTTTTTTTCTTTCTCTTGCCCCAGTGCATAAGGTATATATTTTAAATTATGCTTTTGAGTGAAAGTTGATTAAAAAAAACTTACAGAAATGGGCAAAAAAAACTATTATTGAAAACCTGGTTCCTTCAAAAAGAGGAAAGCTCACATGACAAAGGACTGATTAACAAATCAGTGTTGTAGGGCATTGACTCAAACAGCTTGCTGTAGCATCAGCAGTAACAGGTGCATGAGCACAAAGGGAACCCTTACTATTCAAATAATTTGTAAAGTGTTGTATTTTGGTACTTAGTTGTTGATGCTGCTTTATTTAATGTAAAAAATGGATAAAATAAAAATGGACTTTGGAGGCTGAAATCAGCGCATCTGTAATTATCATGTGTGGTTAGTGTTAACAGTTCATATACAGTTCATATACAATATAATGACAAAATTATTATTCTTCTGACACTTTTTCCGACTGTTTTTCTGTTTCTCTGGGTATTTGGTGTCTCAGTATAAAGAAGGCATGCTTTAAGACTCTGGTGGATGAGGTCCAGGAACTGGAGGCTATGTCTAAGGATCCAGGAGCTGTGGTTCAGGGAAAAAGGTGAGAAGTACATATTTTCTGATCCACCTTCTCAGCTCAGAGTAAGATGAGCTCCCCAGATGAGTTGAACAGTAGTGACTGTGGAGACATTTGCATGAAATAGGTGCCAGCAATCTTTAGACAAGCTCTTTCTCTGCCTCCTCTCTTTCTGAACACTGTAAGTAGGGCCAGGAGAGATGTGTTAATGAGTCAAGAAGGTAAAGATAAGCAGGGGTCCAAGCACTCTGAGATTAATCATGCTGGCTCATCACCCAGGTCAGCAGGCAAGTCTGCACCAGAACCCAAGCTCTGTCAAAGGCTCTGAGCTGTAGAGCTCGCATCTAGTGCTATTCGGAAGTGCCTGATTTTGTCTGAAAGTTGGGGGAGCAAAGTTGCAGCAGTTGGGCTGAGGCGCATAGCATAAGGAAGAGTTAGTTAGCGCACATCCTTCTCAAGTAACAGTTTTATTTTAGCAGATGTTGATGTGATTAAAATTGGGTGTGCCAGTGCTCCATTTGCTTCATCGTTCAGGTGCATATGATCCTGCCTGTGTCCTCCTGCATCTGCCCAGGGTTTTACAGGAGAGAGCCATCAAACAGAAATTTCGTCTGATCAACTTGCTCTTCCTGGGAGAGAGACAGAGCTCTATGAGTAACGTCTGCATCTCACTTTCCTCTCTCTTTCTCTCCTTCTTTTTATTGTATGTGTGTGCGTATGTGTGCAGCTTGACAGAGAGGGCCCAGCTGCTGAAGAACGTGTTCAAGAAGAGCACTGTCAGCCTGTACCGCTCCGACTCCATGCAGCAGAATCTACTCCGTACGTCAGCGACTCACCTCTGCTCTGCTACCGACACGCACACACGCTCACAATACACACGCTCACAATACACACGCTCACAATACACACGCTCACAATACACACACTCGCGCGAGGACTTTCTTCTGGACACACATCCCACCATTCCCATCTGCACTATAAAAATGCAGGTGCACACGTACACTCAAGCACATATCGACGCCCATATACAGAAACTCGATGAAAGGCAAACCTGAAGACTCTCTTTGGGTTGGAAAGAAAGCATCTCACAACAATGCAACAGAAATGAAAGCAGTGACATCATGCTGCTGATGGCCAAATGAGGCAATATGACATTTGTAGAATACCGGGCTGTTTGGCTGAGGTAGTCACATGAGACAGGTTGTTCTTAGTCAAAGCAGTGGCATATGTTAGTGTCTGGGGCAATGTAAACACCTGCTGGTAATGGCTGTCAACCGACATTTAGTCTCACGCACACTGACATGCCAGGCATCTATAATTCCTAACACATGCCCCCCTCCGCAGAGCTGGGACCGTACAGCTCGAGCAGGCGCACGCGCGTTGTGTTTGCGTCCCATTTTGCTTTTGTGACTTTATTTATGTTTGCGTATGCTTGTTTTTTGTCTTATTTTGCTCTCTTCATCAGCTCATGACAATGTTTTGTTATTTGTTTTTAGGTGGGGATGGGAGGCGCTCCGTGATAGTCTGATTTTGCCATGTGCGCTTTTCCCCTGAAACCACACCTTAAAATCCATTACAGCTGCTTTTTTCCCTTTTTTTTTAATTTCCAAAAGACTTGTCACTGACCTGCAATTTAACTTACCACCGTATGGTGCTGTATCCCGCAGCTTTGCCCTTTCCCCATTTGCATGCGTGTGTGTGTGTGCTCTGCTGTGCAGCTCTGTTGCCTGATGGCCAGAGTCACATCTAATCATTTCCATGTTCCATTGTTGCTCCCACACTGCACTGCTCTCCTCGGCCTCTTGCATGCGCCCCCAGGCCAGCAGGTAGAGGCCGAGTCAGTTGAGACATAAAGGTGAGTTAGGGGTCGAATGTCAACCCCAGTGTGCAGTGCAGTAGAAGCTAGTGTGCCTTAACTGCTACGAGCTTCATAATGGTGCAGCACTGGGCAATAGACTGCTCTCTACTGATTCATCAGAAAGGATGTTGCTATTGGTACAATCTCAATACAGACCTGTTAAACCACTTAATCTAGAGGCTTATTTAGTTATTCATCTTAAGACTAAGTAAGTGCTAGGGGTTGGCAGTATGATGTTTTTTTTTGTCTGTACCAACTTTTCACATCTCAGAAAAACTAAATGTCATTATACATACCATGGAATCATTAAATCTAATTGGCTGAAGCCATTGTAAAATACTTAACAAATCGTGACTGTCTCGTGAAAACCTTGTATCTCCATATTTGTGGTTTTTAACTTTTTTTTTGCATGAGTTAAAAAGTCAAGCTATGCTTTGCATTGTGTTTAAGTTTTATTATGAATGGACTAATAGAAATTTCTTGAAAAAAAACGTATAAGTTATATTAACATCCGTTTAAAATTAAGGATGTTTTTCCTTCTCCTGTGAAGTTAACATCTTGGAGATACAAAGTTTTGCACCGACAGCGACAAGATAAACCTATAACTGAATTCTGTATTAATGCATCGTTGTGCTGCTTGCATAGACCACCAAGCATATTTATAGATGGACCCAGGCATCAGCGTTCATATAAAGTAAATGACCCAAAAGAGTGCTAACAGGCTAGCAGGCTAGCATGCTCCTTCAATAATATTCTGAGTTTGGTTTTAAAGTCAAATATTTACTGAAGTAAATACTGTGTAAAACTATAAACATGCGAAGTAAATATGTTGAATATCTTGAATGTTTTACAAGCTTCAAAATGTCTGTGTTTCTGATAGTATAAATAGTGTAAAACATAGTGTGGGAACACAAATATGTGGCACATAACGCATAACACACATAGAGGCACCAGATAAATTAGCGTTATCGTTGCAGTGTCAATTTGACCAAGTAAAAGCTACCTCAAAGGTAGCGCTTTCTGCATTGAACATTATATTTGCTGTATTATGACTTATTCATGATTATATGGCAAAAATTACAATGTTTGTGAAGACGCCATACCCGTGATAAGAAGAAATTTCTTTTTGAGTTGTGTCCCTTAATAGGCCGAAATGTCTTTCATGCTGACCCCTCATGTTTTAAATATTGAATAGCTCAGTCATTAAACATGGTTACAATGCTATTCAGGAGTTCAAGGCTCATCATCCTTTCATTTGGATCGTTACAAACTGTCAGTCATAAAAGTCCAGTAGTAGGAACCCTGTCTTTGAGTTAGAGTGGACTCGTAGCAGTGGTATCGTGATTTGCTTAGCTGTTTCTTGCCAAAGCTTAGCCCTCATTGTTTCATACATATTTCTGCCATTGTTTATCAGCATTTGTACTGCATTATCTGACACATCTTCTCTGTGTTCCTCCTGCAGACGGCTACGCCTTCTCTCAGGATGAGAACGGAGTGGTCTCCCAATCCGAGGTCATCAGGGCCTACGACACCACCAAGCAGCGGACCAACGAGTGGTGAGATCCGGCCTCCAAGGCCCGGTCCCCCTGAGCCTCAGCTGTCAGTCAACCTTTTAAAACTGGCAGAAGCTGAAGCCTGTCAGTTTGTCTTTCTCCAGCTCAGAGTTGCCTGGCATAGAAAAACAAAAGAGCGAGAGAGAGAGAGAGCTGTACTTCGAAAGGGAAGAATAAAAAAAAAGTAAGGAACAAAATTAAGATTTGTAGATTTGAAGCAGTCACACTGCAGCGCAGTAGCTGCAAGTCCACACTGGGATTGAGTGGCTTAAGCTGGACTACTCTGTTAACTGACCCATCACACAGAGAGACGCTGAGAAACACTCCATGAATTCTCTGTCCTCTGACATCCTCGCAACATTTACTGTTAAAGCCAAAAACGCAGTGGTGGTGATGGCGATGGTAATGATGGTGTTAAACGTTTGTGGTAATGGTCTTTGATTTTGTCCCCCTAACCAGTCATGGTGTATCAAGCTCTCTGAATAACAGTATTGCTCTAAAGTAATCCCTGTTTGTGTAGCAACAGCAGTACTGAGCAGCTCCACAAGGCTCCTGTGGAAATGGGAATCGCCAAAGATGACATCATCATAATCGTCATGACACAAACGCTGTTTAAAAAGAAAAAAATGTTGATGACTTGTTTGGAAACTTAAAATATTATGCAGTTGTATTTAACAGATTTTTCCCTAAGCATCTCCCCTCTGTACTGATTTGGCCACTGCAGACCAAAACTATTTGTTTTGTTTTTGATTTTTTACCCCCCATCCCCCTTTTGCATGCTCTTATTTATGTTCCTGCCTTCAGCCATAGATAGTTTAACTAATGTTATTAAGAAATTGTTTATCGTGCCTGGATGTCTGGCAGCCGTTTGGTTTGTGCCATTTATATAACACATTTTGATGGCCCTTCAATAAGTTTTTGCATTACTCATTGAATACCGCTGCAACGATCACAAAGGTGCCTAATAGGAACTTTTTTTTGTCCCTGTTAGAGAGTAAGTCAGATACTTTAGCTAGGCAGGATTAGTCCGCTAACACATACAAGCTGGGAGCTGTTGTTTTCTCTGCAGTGCCTGGCTGGTTTTTTTGAGCTCCATGTTGACTCTCTGTTGTGTCAGCCAGTCCTGTATGGTCCGTACAATTTGTGCGGAAGTCTTCTAGACGATGCAGATGGTTGACTTCTAGTAATTCTCTTGGAGAGATAGTCGATTCCTCAAAACTTGAAGTGCCATTAGCGTAAGTGGGGGGGGGAGAAAGGGGATTTAAGCCTGGAGGTCCACCCAGTATCAAAATAATGTTGTCTCCATAGTTATTTTGTGAATTTGTATTTTTATATTGGAGAAGTACAACTTTTTGGATTGATCTGCTTTGTAATGAGACGTCATTCTTCTTCTCTTTTGTCATCTGTATTCAGAAAACTGATGGTGGAGAATGAGCCTAACTTAACCTGTGACTAAAACTTCTCTTGTTAACATTGAAGGCTTGTTTCATTTATGGTAGAGTATTGTGTGTGTGTGAGTGTGTGTGTGTGTGTGTGTGTGTGAGTGAGAGTGCACGCTAGCTCTCTTCTCCCTGTGGGAGGTCAGGTTGTGTGTGTGTGTGTGTGCATTGTGTGTTGTCTGCATGTGCATGTGAGCATATGCTTGAATGAATGTGTGAGTGTGTGTGTGTACGTCTAAGTGTGTGTGACTGTTCTTGAGCATGTGTGTGTTAACTTACCCCTGGGAGACTAACTGCTGTTTCCACTTGATCAGTTCTGGATTCCTTTGTGTATGAGACTGAAGGTTGTGTGGGTTATGGTTGCCACCTCAGCCCTGTAAAATTCCTGGACACTCGAGCAGTGATTTGATATTTTTCTAAATTCAGTGGACGGGTAGCTGTTCTCATAATGCAGTCTAATGCCAATTTTAAGGCAGAATCGCAAACCGTGTCCTTATTTCAGGCTGGTCTTAAACTATATTATCTCCCCATCAGTTGTAACCGGCCAGATTTCAAGTCCTAAGTATTAAACGTTCAGTTTTTACCACTTAACATCCTGCATTGTGGGGGGAAACACAGATTCTCTCATATGAAATGCAGTGTTGACATCACGTGTGAAAGACTGATAACCAGCTGTGCTGAACATAAGGGTAAAATTGACATTTCCAAATTCCACTGCTTGTTTTTCTTTGTGAAATGCACACAGAGCTGCAAAAAATACCACAGCAATCTGTGCTTCGATGTCATTTGCTGTGTTTGTTTTAATCGAAAGTCACGTTTATTCGTGAGAAATTCTCTGAGATCCCAGGTTGGTCATGACTCTGGTTCATAAACATAATCAAAAAGAGTGTGGTGTTTTGTTATGGCCAAATCTTTTAGTATGGGGGCTGTGATGACTGAAAAATTACAAAAATCTGTGAAATCTGTTATTATATGTGGGGTCTGTTTCAGTATTATCAGTATCAGTCGCAATTACATATTTTCCCCTCATCGTTCAGCCCCACTAGTGTCTAAACATGTCATTGAACAGTGCACCTTTATGAAACAGTTGTCTCTACATTGAACTAATTAAACCCATTCTTTGTATACAGATGGTTCTATGGGTTAAAAAGAAGCAAACTTTATAAGAAATGCTAACATATGAAAATACTTGTGAAAATATATGTGAAGATATATTGTGTGTCCAGGAATGGAATCCATTTTTTTCCTGGACAGACAACCAAAATCCCAGACAATCCAGGACAATTCTGGATAGGTGGCAACTGTAGTATGGGGTATGGGTGTGCATGTGTGTGCGTGACCCTTATGTCTGTGTCTTTGTGTGCGTAATGCCGCTCGCTCCTTGTCTGCATGTCTCCAGGTATAATCACAGTGTGCTATGACGCTGCATGGCCCTGTACATGTGTAGAGTGGTTGTGCGGGAGTACGCGTGTGCGTGCTGTCCTTCAGCCTATACTGGGCAGAAGGGTTCTCGGTGGTAATGCTGAGCTAAAGCTTGACAGATGATGTTGCACTGTTAAACTCTCAAGTGGTGGCTGATCTTTCTGAACTGGGTATTATTTGTTTCCAGTATTATTTATCTGGTTGTATGTACGAGCTTGTACTTTTGTTTGAAATCTCACATGATGTACCTCTTCTCTGAACAGAAATCTCAGTGTGTTTCTTTTCTCAGCTTTTGTAAAGTACAGCCTCAGTGCTTTCGTCTCCTAATCTCTGCTTTCAGTGGGTCGTTTCTGTTCTGAACGTTTGCTGTTGTTGGTTGTCGTTGAACACTGGATTTTTTTCTGACGTGACCGCAGTGAAAGAGTTGGACTGTTGCTTTAGCAAACCGTTCGTCTGTGGAAGTGGTTGACTGCATGAATGGTTTAAATGTTAGTCGTACACAGGTTTTCTTTTAATATTGGTCACTTTAAAGAAGAAAATGCACTTTTATTTTTTAGTTTGTATTAACTTTTTTTTTTTTTTATGTCTTCATTGTTTAATGATTGTTCAGCATGTTGGGACTGCAAAATTTTAAGTGTTCTGTCTTTTACTGCCATAAAGGACTACAGAAATAAACTTTACAACATGAACATGAAAACGAAAGCTTTTTGTCGTTAATACAGATTTCATTAACTTATTCACTCTCAATTTAAAAATGTCTACTTTTCCTTTTGAAGTATCACTGAACTCTTCATACACGTTTTTTCCTTCAGTCTACATTTTTTTCTCTGCTTTGTCATGAGATTTGCCTGTAAAAATCCACGGACACTATGTAGAAAAGTTCAACTTGAGGTCTTCCAACACAAATTAGAAAAGTTACCATAATGACTCTTTGAACACAAAGCTATTATTTAGCATTAATCTTCGCTGTTTCCGAACAGTTATGCTCCAATGGCCCATTTCCTGTCTAGACCAGCATGTGTCCACCAATTACTTCAAAACCGCTAAATTATTTTATGTAATAAACCCCCACATGGTCAGACTTTCACATTAGGACGCTATGGTGTTTATCGCAGGTGAAGATCGGCATGCAAATTCCAGTTCCTCTTTTAAAACGCTATCCATCAGGACGTCCCACCCTTTCTGGGTTGCACTGGTTTTATTTGCTGTGTTGTGTTCTTTAGCAGGATGTTTCTCTCGGTTTCCTCTCCGCGCCTCAGCCCTGTCCCACACTAAATCTGTTTATGAGAAGATTTGGATTTGAATCATGTTGACTGGATTTTGGCCATGGTCTCTGCATTCGCCTCCATCCAGCTAAACAGAATCCTGTGGGATCTGCACGTCTTACACACTGCACTGGAACATGTCCATTAAATAAGTCATTACAAGAATTCATGTTTATATAGCATGTGCAATTATTCAGTACAGTAAAAGAACAGTTTATTTTTTGTTTTGTTTGCTTGGCTTTCTAATACATCTCACCTTTACATTTACATTTGCTGTAAGTCTGTAAGCAAATGAATGAGATATTGTAACATCATTTTATAAAAATATATTGCTTCTAAAAATATTTGGCATGATGTGGAATGCTGTCTTGTTTGGAGTGAACAGTCAGTTTTCCCCTTTAGGTGGCAGGACTCACATACACACTGCCATGAGAAGAAGCTAAACAGGAAGAGGTGGAGAGGACTCCGAACACGTCGGCCTACTTCACGCATAATAAACAGATGCCATCTGATGGTCAGATATGTCGTTTTTACTGGACGTCTCAGCTCCTGATGAGTTCATCTAGGGTTGGCTGAGCTGTTTTCTTGCAGTAAAAACAGTTTATTCCTGTTCGGAAATTCTCCTCTAAATCAGTAAGTATTAATTCAGCCCACTAGAGTTTGTCCACAAGATGGATGAGGTATTTTTCTCCATCTTGTATGCTTCAATTACAGTACAGTGCAGACCATAGACATTTGATTTGTATTATAGAGGAATTATGCCCATTTTTATGGGAAATGGTGCATTGTGCAGAAAATTACTCACTCTATCTTCTTTATAGTGATGGTGATTGGCACCAGGGGTCATGTATAAAACGCAAATATAGCCATTTTATTTAGTTTGCATTGTATCTGTTATTTAATTATTTTGTTATTGCTTTTGCTTAAAGTTTCCCTTTACATATTATGTTATGTGAAGAATGGATCAATAGAAATGGTCTAAAATTACAGGGAACCATATCTTTTTCCATTAGTTTTTATTCAAAGTTGAGAACTTTTTATCCTTCTGAAAAAAATTGCCATTTTTGGAGAAACAAGGTCCTGGCAGCAACGATATGTAATATTGATAGTGGTAAAATAATGGTAAATCTGAAAAAGTAAGATTTCTATGAGGACTAATTTTCCTTACAACACTCTGAATGTACCAGTCCAGCATGAATGACTTTTTAAACATACATTTTAGGCCGAAACAGTCTCTCAAAACTATCGTAAAACAATGTCTCAGGCCACAGGCAGTGTATTCATAACCATGTCAATAACTTTGTCATTTAGCTTTTGAAGGCATTGAAGGGGAATTCCACAAATTTTCAAAATTTCTGAATATTTCAGTCCTTGGGATATAACAGAGTTAGTCAGAGTAGTTTGATGAGAAATGGTTCACTATAGAGAAACTTACAGACTCTAATTCCTTTACAGTGATGGTGATAGGAACCAGGGGTCACAATGTCTACAACACAAATATAGCCATTTAATTTACTATCCAGAACCACCAGTGAACCTACATGTGTCTTCTGAGTTTTATATGTAACATTGATGTTGGTGATAAATCTGTGATAAATCGGAAAAATTAAGTTTTCTTTGGGGACTATTTTGCCGTGCATGTATCTCTCTACCATTAATGAACTGAAATAAATTAATTAAAATACACTTTAAACCTAAACCTTATCACAAAACTATAAAACATTGTATCAGACACCTGGTAGCATATATCTAACCATTTTATGTAATAACTTTCTATGAAGGAGTTTTCAGATGCATTAATCTCTTCACACGTCTGGTTCCTATCACCACTACTGAAAAATTCTGACTTGGCAAGTTTCTCTAGAATGGAGCATTTCACATGAAACCACTCTGAGTGACTGTATATTCATCTCAAACATTTAAATGTGCAGAAATGTTGAAAAATCGGTGGAGTTCCCCTTTCTTCAGATGTCTGGTTCCTATCACCACCACTGTGAACAATTCCCACCCTATAGTTTTCAGAATGGCATGATTCAAACCTCTGAATTATTTGATTTTAACTATTTAATTAGGCAGCAATTTTGAAAAGCTGTGGAATTCCCCTTAAAAATAATCACTGATTCTAATATTGAACTATTTTGTTACAAAGAAATTAAGAAGTTCTTGTATTACAGAAAAAAGTCAACTGTGGCCTTAAAAGGAAGGTCATGGAATTTTATTTGAAACACTGTAGAAAATAGCGTTTAATACTCAGCTGTGGTATGTGACTGTACATGCTACAGACTGTTCTCCGGCTCATTGCGCTGCCCCAGCTGGTCAGACATTTCAGTAACACATGACCACTCGGAGCATTGTGCTGACCACAGATCCACCAGAGAGTGTGTGCTGTTAACGTAACCTGAAACCATAGCAATTATGGCAGTTATTCAGTTCTATGAATTATGTTAAATGAAATTAAAAACCCACACCAGATCATGGAAAAACAAACAGTTGGAGACAGTCGTCCAAACTGTCCAAAAAAAAAAAAGCAGTCCCAGAGGTAGCTGTGTGTCTTACTCAGTTGAAGTTGAGGGAGGAATGGAGAATGTTAAGAAATATCGCTCAACATTAGTAGCTACTTTTCTCACAGAACAAATGTATGAATATAACACGCTGTAAAATATATGTAGTCATTAACGCACATGTGAACAGTCTGCTTGCCTTGCTCAGGTAACTCTCATTTTATGTAGCAAAGTACCCCCCCCACCACACACATACATACAAACACACACACACACTTGGCACTCCATTCCCAGTAAATCCCTCTCTCCTCTGCGCCCTCCTCGATTGTCACTAGGTTTAAATTGCCTGGTTTGTTTCCTTTTATTCAGTAAATGATTTTTTAAAAAATGTATAGAATCATTTCTTCTAATATGTTTTCATTCTTACATTCTTTCTTCAGTCTTTTCCTTGAGTGTCCCAACAATGGCATAAATGTTTGCATTCTGGCGCACAAAACTAATTTATTCCAGAAAGTTAGAAAACATTTTTATAAAAACGCATGAAAAGTGCATCAATTTAATAGAATTTAAGAGGTGCAAACAGAGGTCTGTGTGCTTTTTAATCTGGCACAGAAGTTTTAGATGCCCAGAATTTCACCATAAATCCATCGTGCCGAGGTCTCTCTCTCTCTCTCTCAGTCTCTCTGTCCCGCCAGTTTCAGCAGCTCTCCGGCTTCATCTGTCAACCACAATCACATCACCGCTTTCCTTGAAGTTCTGATGCGTGTGAGTGACACTGTGGCCTGCCAAGAGAAGCATCACTGCACACTGGCTGGCAGTGGCTGAAGTCTGCAAAGCTCTTGGTCCAGCAATGGAGTAAAAGTGATGATCCAATAACTGATAAGTCAACAACTGACCCATCATTGCTCTGCCCACCAATGCATTCTTTCACAGCAACTGTTGCCAGGTTAAACTGTGGAGCTTAATTCCACCTTTTATTAGCAGTCAAGAAAATGTTTCAAATGTTAAACATTTGAAAATGAATCTCTTTAATTTAGCTTTCAATTATTATTTTTTTATTTGATCTTTTATTGCTTCAGATGGTTTACATGAAAACTCAGCTTTCATTTATTTATTTCTTTTCTTATATTGTGGTTACAGAATAGTAATAATGATATAAGAAAATCAAACTCTGTCTGTAAAGCACTTTGAGTTGCCATATATAAATAAAGATGTGGTTATTATCTATTATTATTGCTATTATTATTTATTATTGTTGTTAACAAGCTTTACAATTGGCCAACATTGGCAAAAACCTTATTTAAACTTATGAATTTAGGTTGCTATTTATGTTCACTACTTAACATTGAGTTTCCAAGTTGAAATGGTACTGAGCTGGATTATGTTGTTGTAGCTGATTGAAACTAGACAGGCTGTAAACTGCCACAATGCTAACATGAGCTGAATAACACAACAAAAGGCATAACAGTGCGATCTTTAACACAATGCAGAGTAAATATCATTTGAAACTAGAAGGGGAAAGTTTGTAAACGAACTTTAAGTTGCCTTGACCAAAGATGTTGCTTGGCTGGTGGTATGGAATCCCAGGTGGTTGCTTAGGTGTTGCTAGGGCATTGCTATGGTATCCCGGGTGGTTGCTGAGATAAAGCTTGGCCATTGATATCTAATCTCAGGTGGTAGCTATGGTGTTTCTTGGCTGTTGCTATGTTATTCCCAGTGGTTGCTAATATATATGTGTGTGTATATATAGGTACTAGTATGTATGTGAGTCTATGAGGGGCAGTGTGAGAGAGATCCTTTGGGACATGATTTGTGAATTTTCTCAACATTCCTGCATTCATTCATTCAGGATTTTTGTTAATGTTCTAAAAAGCTTGTCCAACCTGCAGCAGTTGCGACGAAGGAATGCATCTTTTGCCAGTAAATAGTGTCACTACTTTTCTTCAAGTCCTGATGCTTGATGTGTGAGTCAGTGACACCATTGGCTGCAAAAGAAGCATTGCAGTGCAGTTTATTCCAGTCCAGGCACTCATAGAAAGAGAGATTCCAGTGTCCAGCTCTTTTCTGTCCTCAATGGTGCTGGACTTTAGCTCCAGTTCAACTCTGGCCAAAATCAGCAAAGTTCTTGTTCCCGCTGAAGGGTTCTGGCTGCAGGGGGAAGAAATACTGCTGGGACAGGATGAAGCTGGAGTCCTGGTGGTGCTGCTGTAGTTGCCCGTGGCCATGTGAGTGTGTGTGTGAATGTGAATGTGAGAGGCTGGTCTGTAGGCACTGTGGAGAGAAGTATGGTGGTGGAGGTGGTGGTGGCAGCATTGGCTGGGACCCGGCCGTGTTACAGGATGAGGATGAGGCCAGCAGGATCTGCTGCTGCGGGTTCTGCTGGAGGCCGGGGTCAGCCCTGCCCAGAGAAAAGCGGCGCAGCGAGCTGCCCCCGCCTGCGCTGCTGGAGCTGGTGGTGGCCGTGCTGGACTGACGCGAGGGCGTGCGCATGCTGGTTGGTGCTGCCCCAGGAGTCAGGATCATAGGGATGGTCTCACCCTGGCAGCTCCGCAAAGAGAACCGCATGGGCTGCTGAGCTGGCTGCTTCGGCCGCAGACACGTACAGCAGTACACGGCCACTAAAGAGGCAACCACAACAAACGCCACGAAGATGGAGCCCACCATCAGGAAAGGCATGTAGATGGGTTCTGAGAAAGATAGAAAAAGGGGGCTCATAGAGTAAATGAGGGCTCATAGAGTAAAAAGGGCATTGTGTATCAGATTGTGGATTATGGAAATGTCCTGAACTATGATGAATTATGTTAAACTAATGTTGTTGTGGTATAGATATAGACGCAATGTTTTTGAGGGAGACATTTGGAAAAATGTATTTCTTAAAATAAAGGAAATTTTTCACAGGCTTTATTTAAACATTTTGTGTTTTGTAATGATATGAATTTAGTCACAAAGTAATGAAGTATCTTTTTAACTGTAAAACTGTTACATTTTTATTGCACAAAAGTACAAAAGTCTGAGATCTGAAAGGATCCACCCATCCATCTTTCCACTGTGAGAAGACAGCTCAACTCTTTGAGTCTGAAAAGATGTGTAGCTGTCAAGACGACCTTACTGAGAAAAGGAAATGGGCCAAAAAAGAAAAAAAAAAGTTTGCAGATGAAACAAAAACGCTGCTGGCGTTCTGATAACAATGGACTGACCGCCCCAGAGTCCAGACCTCAACATCACTGAATGTGTTCGGGATTCCTTGGATTGTAAAAAGCTGAAAAAACAAATAACTTTTAAGACTGAAATTTGGCAGCATGGAAAACTATTACTGTAGATTTCTTTGAAAGCAAGTCTGCTGAAAAGATCACAATCTAGAATGAAGGCAAAGGGTGGACTGATATTATAATTAGTTTCTGAGGCTTCTGTTAAACATATGTATTTGTTTTTTTTCCTGACTTTGAAAAATTAAATATCTTCTATTTAAAGGCCACCTGGAAATATATGAATATCTAAAATATGTCTTTTGCATCCTAAGTAGTGCATTAAACTCCCACTGAACAAGATTTATGTTCTATATAGTGCCTTTTTAAAACTGATGTTGTACAAAGCAGGTTTATAGAAATGGGACCAGCCACCTGTGTCACTAAGGGCAACAGTGTCAAGAAAAAACTCCCTAAGAGCATGATGAAGAAACATGGAGAGGAACCAAGAAACCAAGACTCAAACGGGTAACGTATCCTTGTCTGGGCTGCACTGGATTTTGCTTTAATTGTAAACAAAGCATCTGATGAAACTCAGTTGATTGTTATTAGGGTTACTAGGTTTAGGATTTTGGGTGGAAGTTATGGTAAGGTTTAGGTTTAGGGCTAGATGTAATAGAATCTATCACAAGTCCAGTTGCATTAAGAAAATATTTAGTTCAAAGTTAATTAAAGATAAGCTGAGCATCTCCAAAGCATTCGCTCAAAATAAAGGAAACTGAGTATGTCTATTGCCCTTAATGGAGTTTGAATGGTTTCCAGCTCGTTAAAGAAACTGAAGTGTAAGTCATTAACTCATCCATCAGGCATTTTGCTGAAATGTTTACATTAATGCTGAGGGAATGCGCTGCTTTAGATGTGGGACCCTGCGTCGGGTACTGTTACTGGAAATGACATGCCAGTACAAACAAAATATCTTCCTCTGTCTCTCTGTCTGTTTATGTCACGGCATCCGATTGCAGTGAGGGTCAGAGTGTGGAGCCCAGGGCCAAGAGCAATGGGACAGATGGATGGGTTATACGGGCTGGACCTTTCAGAGGTTTACTTAAGATAACGTACAAAGTGTATTAGATACATAGTGATATATCTAATCTAATATTAAAAAACTGCTCTATACTGCTAGATCCCTGATGGTGGTTGTCTGATTGTAGTGGGTGATCAGTGGTGAGTTTAGAGCAGACTGAGCAGAGGTGTGTTTATCCATTACACACTCAGCTGCCTCCCAACTGCTGCCTTATTATGTATAGCAGTTTATATAGATTATTGTTTAGAGTATTAATTATTAATCAGTACTTATATATTTATTTACAAACAATGAGCGAAAGGATCTATAGAGCATAAGACTCTTGCTATTGTCATTAGTATTAATATTGTTGTTGTTGTTACAGTACATAAAATATTTGTAAATTAGTTATACTATAGTCTGTAAAACCCTAAACAGTCCAACAGCTAGAATTTGGTCACTATGGGTGACATTTCCATTCACAGTCTGTTGGAAAGGAGTTAATTATGATAATGATGTAATGAGTATTAATTCTACACATATATTGATTTCTGAATAATAGTTACTGTTCTGTAAATAAGCAGAAGTCTCCCTAAAAGTCCCCACACTGTTTAATAGTCTTATTTATTTATTTATTTATTTATTTAAATATAAATCACCCAACACTGTATAGTCTTTCTACATTCACCTGGTAAAGCTACTGTTTGATATATAAAACTTCCATGTAATGCAATCTGTTCTCTAAAACATACATCAGAGTAAAGTTCTGTTATTTGTTCGGAAAAGTTTTTACTATAAAAAAAAAGTATTTTTTTCTTTTTTAACATAATGAAGAAAGCTGACTTTATTAAAACACTGAAACTCCTTCTAAAAGTAGTAATTAAACAATAACGCAGACTCGGATTAAAGCGGATCTGCGAATTCTAACCGAATTTATAATAACGAAATTTTCATTTTTAAAGGTTCTGCACAGCCATCAAATACTGTCTTTGTATATGATGTTTTCTTAATATACATAACGCGCTGTAATAAACATTTATTTGGGTTTTTAACTGACGAGCAAACTGCAGCCTGGTGATTATTAAAGTTTGAATCCTATTAGGAGAGAAACGCATCATTTACACGCTGAAAATAACCTTATAGCCCCGCGGGGTCAGCAGGAGCTACACACTCACTTCCATACCCTCTGCGCGTGTTTTCTAGTGGCATTTTTGCTTCTTCTGATGTTAATCTGTGAAATTTATTTCCATGTATTTCTTGTTTCTTTTGTTGTCACTGTGGAGCTTTAGCGTTTTATTTCAGACCCAGACAGTGAACAGCGCCTGATAAACTGCACTAATAGTCGCCGGATGCGCTCAGAAGGACCGCCGCAGTTCTCTGGTGGAAGAGTTTTTTGCTACTTTAACTTGACTTATTCATTCATTTTTTCACTCTTACGTGCTGTGTATCCGCTGTTTTCCGCCTCGCGGTCGTTCGTGCACGCGCCCTGGTCGAGGCGCGCTCCTGCGGCGGCGCAGCAGTACCTCAGCGCGCAGGTCCCGCAGCACACGCGCGCGGCCGCCGTGTCCAGCTGCTCGGGACACTGGAAACCCTCGTGGTAGTTTCCGCTGGTGTCCAGCCAGCCGTGGCAGTACTCGCCCCGAGCGTCGGACGCGCCCAGGGTCCAGGACACGCAGCCCAGCACGAGGCAGTGCAGCACGCGCGCCATCGCGCAGAGAGAGAGAGATATAGAGAGAGAGAGAGAAAGAGAGAGAGGGAGAGGCGGTTAACAAGCCCGGGTTAAAAACTCAGTCCGGCTGTGCAGCGATCACCGCGGCGCGTGACTTCATTCGCATCTTCAGCATCAGCGCTCAGTCTGCTCTCATACTCAGCTCTGCTCCACTGCAGCGCCGAAAACACGAGATAAACACACAAAACTGCTCCAAACAGACTGGAAAACAGCTCGGACTGGAATGTGTGGAATAATTAAGAAGAACAATCATATGTTCCTCTTAAATAGTCACTTTAAAAGCGTCACGGTGTAAAATCTTCACCGGGCTCATCCGGAGATTTACAGTCATCGAAACGCATCAAAGTCCGGAGTGAACCCGAGTCCAACTTTGCTGCAGTTTTCCAAGCATCAGAAAGTAAATCCCTGCGCGCGCCTCTTCTCTCCGGCTCGCTCGTGCAGAGTCGCTGTAGCCGAACTGAACTCGAGCTCCGTTTTGTGGCTGTGTTTTTTTCGCGGGTTCGTCATCACTCGCGTGGTAGCTCAGTGGCCCCAGGGCGTTATTGTTAGGTTTTTGTTTCCCACCCCTATTCAGACAAAGCTCCGCCTACCGCACTAGGATTGGGTGGTAGATCATACACCGCAGTATGTCTCGTGAAATGTTCACAATATTTGTTTATATGAACAAGAGGTCGACATAAAAACATATACTGTCCAGATCAGATGAAAGTAACAGCAAGTCCTTCTTAGCATCTCGCGTTGCTAGGCAACATAGTTATAGAGCGTTTTCCTTTCCCACCCGTTTTCAGAGACGAGCCACGCCCCCTCCTGCGCTACGAACATGTTGATCCTCACAGGCAGGCCGCCCAGGGGGCGGGGCTTCTCGGAAAACGAGTGGGGAAAATTGCACTTCACTTCGTCGCCTAGCAGCGCGAGACGCTAAGAAGGACTTATTTCACTTCCTAAATAATATTTCAGCTGCGTAGCTTTGCGGTCTTGAAGAAGCGAGATGGCGTTTTAGTTTACATAATCACAAATTTCGCGAAATGTAGAAGAAATGTTGTGAGTATGAAGGGCAAGCAAATCCTAGCGCTGGACGAGGTGGGGCTTGTCCGAATACGGGTGGGAAACAAACACATCCTTCAGCCCGTCATGCCTATTCGAACTGTAAAGTGTCTTCACTTCTGACTTTTAAGGGAAAACAGTTTAGCTGATATGGACTCGGATTAATTATGTAATTATTGACCAGTTATCTCGTAATTATTTCCGATGTGTCAATGTGCAATTTAACCTGCACGCGTTCTTTTTTCAGTAGCCTAACAAACACTCTTTAAAAAGATGGGTCTTCAAGGGTTCTTGAGTAAAGAGAATGGTTCTGTTTTGAACCATGAGTTCTAGACAGAACCATTTGCATTTTGAAATGGTTATTTGCATGGTGAAATGGTTCTTGAGATTGATGGAGAATGTGCTATATATGTTTTTTTGAAAATGGTTCTATATAGCACCAAAAACGTTCTGCTACTGTTACTATGTCAATCCTGTAACAATAGAAGAACCCTTACTGGTGCCATATGGAACCATTTTCATCAATATGAAGCACCATTTACCCATAGAACATTTAAGCATGTAAATGGTTCTATACAGAACTCATGGTTCTAAATAGAACCATTCCCTTTACTAAAGAACCCTCTTTTTTAAGAGTGTACATGACTACTGAACTGACGCTTGGTTCAGAGTTATATGTATTGAGCAATAATAGTGAATTTTAGGAACATAGACCGTCTAAAAGGATTACACTGATTTGAACTGAGGCTAAAATGGGGAAAATCTAACACTTTATGCAAAGCTGAAGCTTTTGACTATTATGGAGTATGAGGTAAGGGCACAGTTTCAAAGAGTGAAGGCTGTGGAATCTGGAGGCCCTGATGGATCAGCTGTAGGACTGATCAGTGTGCCTCTTTCCAGTCACTGGACACTGGCTCAGTCTGTGATCCGTGGGAAAAGGTCAAGGTCTGTGTGACAGTGCTAAAGAATAGCAGACCAAAAGAGTTAATGCTTTTCATCCTGTGGTGTTAGCATCTGTCTCCATGAAGTGTTTGGAAAAACTGCTTCTAAGTCATTTACTACTCAGTATTACTCTTTACCTTGAGCCGCTCCACTATGCATATAGGAAAGTTGGGGAGGGGTGGGGGGGTTGAGGATGCACTGCTGGATATGATCAACAACACTTATGACCACACAGTCTGGTCAAAGCTTTGTTCTCGGACTTCAGCAGTGCTTTTAACGCTAGTCAGCCTTATGTATTGGTCAGTCAGATGTTGGATGTAGGTGACAGCAGTTGTTTAATTGCATGGAGAAATTATTTTCTGTAGAATCACATAATCCTGTGATGTCATCTGAGTGGTCAGTACAGGTGCCCCACAGGGCTCTCTGTTATCACCAGTTGTATACATTTGCAGAGTGTGTGGCATCCAAAGCCAAAAAAAGTGCAGCAGAGATTTTCTTAAGGCAGATAAACGTGTGATTTGCAATTTTTCTATGAATCTGTTCTCCAGAGCGTCCTGACTTTTAGTCTGATGTATATGTTTGGGAGGATGTGTGTCCAAGGCTGAGACAAACTACAGAGATTAATGAAGACGGCAGGCAGCAAATAGGATTATACACTCTCAGAAAATAAGGTATGAAACTGTTGCTGGGGACTACCCCTCTTGTCACTGTGGTGGTACCCTATAGGGTACATCATAGTAGCTTTAGTCAGGGAACATAATTGTACCATAATTTGCTGAAATTATATTTTCTAAGTTGAATTGACTCCACACACCCTGTCTCGTCTCCAGGCTTTTTATTTTATTGTTCTGTTTTGAAACAATAGGTTATGAAAAAATACAAATATTTACTTTTCACCTGGGAAACACTTATTTAAACTACCCAATCGGACCTTAAAACCACTGTTGCACCTTTGAGGAAACATTTGTATAGTTTGTACCTTGATGAATGAAAAATGTACCTGCAAAGTACCTTTATTTCTAACAGTGTAGGAACTGAGCAGTTGCCACTTACACAGCTTTATGCTGACCTTCTCTTAAATAAGCTCTAATGTACTATCAACTACTATCAAAGGTTCCACTAATCCTATATGTCAACAATGTAAATGAGTCAAAGTGGTGGAATGTTACAGTGCAGATTAAAAACAACCAGATTCAAAAAGTCTGTTGTTCCTGCTGCTATAAATATATTCAACAGTCAAAAGGGGCGTGCTTTGGAATGTAGTTGCTTGGCTGCACTTCTGTGGTCAAAGGTGTTTTTGGATTTTTTTGTAGTAGCTTTTTTTTTGTATACTTTTTGTGCACGTGTTACTGTGTGTAGTGGTATTGTTGTTAGTAGTGTTGTGTGGACATGTGGATAGGTTTTTGCACCATTCACCAACTGAATTTCCTACATGGATAATAAAGTTGACTTTTCCTTGAACGGGGACACTGTCACAGACAGACAGAGTCAGCTCAACTCTTACTTCTTAACAAGTGAGAAAAGGCTGCATGATGGTTTACGTTCTTCGTTCAAATGCAGCACTTCGGTTCGAAAGCACAGGGCTGATATCTGTGCACGGTGTGTGGTTTTCTGTAGTTCTTCTATTTGTGCTGTTATGTCGCCCTCTAGTGGCCGCTTCACTGTTAGAGCAACAGTGGCGCACAAAAAAATGAATGTTATTATCGTCGCTTAACGAGCAAAGTAATGTACTATAGCCTACGTAGGCTGTGTGTGTGTGTGTGTGTGTGGTCATGGCCATTTATTTATCTCTTTATGAGGACCAAATGCCCCAGAATGCTGACTGAGAAATATTTGGACCTTATGAGGGCATTTGATGGGTCTTTTTGGAAGCTTTTATTTATTATGTTTTACTTACATAAAATACCTAAAATTCTTTTCAAGTCAGGGTTAGATCAGGTGCAGCGTTTTAGTTACAGTAATGCAGCAGGCAATGGAAATATTTGTGTTTCCGTGTCCCTGGACCCCTGGTTCCCAACCTGTTCCTCGGGGACCCCCAGACAGTGCACATTTTTGCTCCAACCCACCTCGCAACACATAGTCCTACTAGAAATAACAGCATGGCTAGTCACCAACAAAACCATCAAAATTGTGTTTTGATGCTGATATGCTGGTCAATCAGCATAACCATGCTAGGATGACCAGCTAAAAAAAGGACCAGACCAGCGCTAGACCAGCATGAAATGTTTGCTGGTCTGTGCTGTGTTTTTTTTTTTGTCAGCAGGGAGGGATGAAGGAAAAATATAGACTGTCTTGGGGGCCCTGAGGACCTGTTTGGGAACCACTGCCCTAGACAATATGTTAAAAACTGTAACATTATTTAGCTAGCTGTGTTTATCTGATATGGGTATACTTCGCCTCTGTTGCCTACAGTAAACAGACGCTGGTGAATGTGTGATATTTAATAGCACATGCATGACCTTCTGTAGACGTCACAGGAGCTCTTTGGGACTTTTTATTCCATCCAGCTCACACATTAGATGCCTAGCTAAGTCTAGTGGTCATGTCCAAAATGTGGATGAAAAAATTATACAAGTGTAAGATTATATTACATGCACTCATTGGCTTCTGTGTATCTACACTCACTGTCCATTTAATTAAGTAGTTTTGCCCTCTGCTTCTCTGGATTATTTCTCAGCCCTGTCTTTATCCCATTTTTCAGTGGTCAGGACCCCCACAGAGCTGGGATCATTTGGGTGGTGGATCATACACATTGCAGTGACACTGGTGTTGTGGTGGTGTGTTAGTGTAAATGTGTGCTACACAGAGTGGATCACACACAGTGGTGTTGCTGGAGTTTTTAGCTTTGTGTGGCCACTCACTGTCCACTCTGTTAGACACGCCTACCTTTTTGGTCTTTGATCTTTTCTGTTGCTACACAGTTTGTGTTAGTCATCCTCTAGTATTACATCAGTGGTCAGTTTGACAGTGTGACTAACAGAAACTGTGCATCAACAGAAGATTTACTCTGACTTTACACAGACAAACATGAATTCTATGCTAGTCTAAGCTGGTTTATGCTGGTCTAGTAATGGTCTGGTGCTGGTTTAGCTGGTCACCCAGCGTGATCATGCTGGTTGACCAGCATACCAGCATCCAAAACACAACAAATACTGGTTTTGCTAGTAACAAGCCATGCTATGCTGGTTTTTCTTGCAGGGAATAGAATGAACAGTAAGTGGACACAGTGTTTAAAAACTCCAGCAGCACTACTGTGTCTGATCCACTCGTACCAGCGCAACACACACTAGCATTTCTATACCATATAAGTGTCTGATTGGGTGGTGGAGTGATCCCCCACCTCAGTAATGCCTGCTCTGTGGTGGTCCTGTGGGGGTTCTTACCATTGATAATTGGGGTAAAGAGGGGCAAACAAAGTATGCAGAGAAACAGATGGACTACAGTCTGTAATTTTAGAATGACACAGTGCATCTATATGGTAAGTGTAGCTGATGAAAATGAACAGATACAACAACCAGTCACTGCATTAAGAACACCCCCTTGTATCTACACTCTTTGTCCATTTTATCAGCTCCACTTACCATACAGGTGCACTTTGTAGTTCTACAGTTACAGACTGTAGACAATTTTGTTGCTCTGCATACTTTGAAATACAGGCTAAAAGGGGGGCTAACAATGTTTAGGACCATTACAGAGCAGGTATTATTTGGGTGGTAAATCATTCTCAGCACTGCAGTGACAGTGTTTGTGTGTGTTGTGCTTGTACAAGTGGATCAGACACAGCAGTGCTGCTGGAGTTTTTAAACTCCTCAGTGTCACTCCTGGGCTGAGAATAGTCCTCCATAGCATCACCTCCACAGCTGCGGCCTGTGACCAGTGATGAAGGACTAGAGGATGACTAACACAAACTGTGCAGCAACAGATGAGTTACTGTCTCTGACTTTACATCTACAGTGTCGACTAACAAGGTAGGCGTGTCTGCTAGAGTGGACAGTAAGGGTTTAAAAACTCAAGCAGCACTGCTGTGTCTGATCCACTCATACCAGTGCAACACACACTAATATACCAACACCACGTCAGAATCACTGCAGTGCTGCGAATGATCCACCACCCAAATAATACCTGCTCTGTGGTGGCTGTCCTGTGGGGGTCCTGACTATTGAAGAAGAGGATGAAAGGGGAACTAACAAATTATTCAGAGAAACAGGTGGACTACAGTCTGTATTTGTAGATCTACAAAGCATACACATGGTAACCCTGCTGAAAAAAAAAACCAAAAAAAAAACATAGAAATCATTCAAGTTTCTGTTGGTTCATGGTGGTGTCCAGTAGTCAATAATGGTACTCTGTGCTTTCGTGACGCGTTGATATCACCGTGTAAAGGATTCTAATGGTTTAACAGGTGTTCTGGGACTGATTCCAGATGCATTTGATGGTTTCCTAATGGGATCTAAAGGTGTCCTACAGGAAACTAGTGCTCTCTAAAGGTTAACCATGAAGCCATTTCTTAGTAGAAAGCAAAACCATTAGGTTTTAACACTAATGGTTGTAAGGGTCTTTTTTTCAGCGAGGAAGCTGAGCTGATAAAATGCACAAATATTGTAGATACAAGGAGGTGTACTTAATAGTAAATAAAATAATAAAAGGAGCAATGAAGTGACCAGTGAGTGTAGTGTGCAGTGCCTGTGTAGTGTAGTGCCCCTACACATTGCCACTTTTTGTGTTTGACTCCGTGACGAGTGAAGGAGTCTCAAGGCTATGTGACAAAAACATGGACGTCCTCCAGTCTCCCTCTTAATATCATACACCCCCTCTTGTGTTCGACACTCCCACTGTTGGTGCAGATGCCCTCCAACCCCCCCGCGCTCCAGACGGCGCGAGCAGCTGCCGACGTTGCCCCCCGCCTCCCCCTACAATTCCCTCTGTGTGCAGACAAAAGCCCCCTCCCCCCATCCCGCCAGGGGATTGGAGCAGTGACCTGTCAGTAAAGTCCCTCCTCCTCCTCCTCCGGAGTTGCACTGTGTTTTGTGTGTGTGAAAAAGAGAGAAGCGTTCAATCTGTCCGGAGCGCGAGCGAGCAGCGTCACACCACGTTGAAGAGACTACAGAGAGTGGCTCGCGCGCGGCATGGACGAGGAGATGCTGTCTGCGGACGAGGGACTCGGCGTGTGCGCGCGGCAACGGAGCCCGTACAGCGCCCTCAGAACGCTCGCGAGCAAGCGCGCGATTGTAAGGGCGAGGCGAGACAGACCAACCATGGTGGACATCCCGCAGGCGGGGGACGGCGCAGGGCGCGCGCAACAGCAGCAGCAGCAGCTCGCGACCGGCCCGCCGTACACGCACCAGCAGCACCAACTGCAGCTGCAGCGCCTCCCCTGCGACGCGAGCGCGAGGCCCAGCAGCGTCGGCGGAGCACCGGGAAGCTCCGTGCCACCCCCACTCTTCTGCGGCCGCAGGAGGGTCACACAGCCCGCGGGCCGCGCGGAGATCAGCCACGAAGCTCCAGACTGCAGCTACGGCATCAGCCCCGGTAAGAGAGCCCAGGTGCAGGAAGAAGTTTGGTGTATGAATCGTTAGAGCACTCTGAGGCTCACTGAGGTACTTAGAGACTTAGCATGTGTTGCTTAGTCGTCTAGTTTGAATATTCCCACTGAAGGTGTCCTGTTGAAAGTCCAGTCTGCTGCTGCATTCGAGTCCCGTATATCCAAAAGAAGAAAAAGGGAGCAAAAAGTAAAAAAAAGAACAAAATAGAGGCAGCTAGACTCAGAACTATTTCAAAGTAGGCTGCTAAAGTGTCCAAAATAAGAGTATAGGCTATGTTGCTATGAATAAAAACAGCTGAACAACGTCTAAGTGAACATGTTCCTTTCAGTATTCCAGTTTGTTGTTATAGTTCACTGTAACGTTTTCCACCAGAGATATTGTCAAAGTCTTTATGACAAAGCCCATTCACAGTGTTGGGGTCCCAAAACTCAAAGGGAAAGTGCTCTGTATTTGAGAACTTTAATAGGAACCAGTGCTCTGTCAGGGAATGTGTTCACTGCTGTCCAGCCCAGAAGGCTTAACTTGGTTGTTGTCTACAGCCAGGATAAGAGTCTTGGTTCTGGGTAGAGCTGGGCAGTATGGCAGTACTTATCATAATTGTGATAAATTATGTCACAATTCACTTTTCTGAGCATATCATGCATATCGTCACTTATTAAAAAACACTGCTTGTTTGATTACAATGAGAGCATAATTAGTCCTGTTTAATTGGATTTTGTGCAGCACAGTATGTATAAAGTTGAAGACAAATCATTGTATTTGTAGTTTTTGATACTATTTTTAAATGTGGCACTTATGTCTTCCGACTTATGTCCAAAAAATAAATATCGTTGCATACCGTATATCTTTAAACTTGTTGAAGTACCATGATATCACATTTTGGCTTCCAGTTCTGAAGATGTTAATACGATTTTTTGTGAAGCCCTGTGGATTAGGATGTAAACAAAGTTAGTGTGATAGATATGAAGCCCCACTCTTCTGCAGCAGCCCTGGATCTCTCACAGATCCAGCCATCCAAGAAAAAGACATTTGCAGCCAATTAGCTAAAATATATTTTTGACATGCATAACTGACATTGCAAAGTAAATTCAGTTCTCCAGATATTATTGATGTTTGTAGGAAGCCTTCAGCAGAGTTAGTTCACTAGATTTTGTGCACTAGGTGAACAATAAGTCTTTTGTAACTTCACCTGTGTTAATTTCCAGTCCCAGCTTAAAGAAGCATTTAGGAATAACTGAGTTTGAGACAACTTTCATAGTCCAGCTATTACAACCATATGAAGTTCAATGTCTTAGCTGTGTTTCAAGCTTGACCAACAACAAACCAGAAGAAGAAGCTAATTTAATTTAGAGAAGTTGATTACAAGTTACTTTAGCCTGTTATAGCATGTCTTTATTGCATCTCTATTGGTGATTTTTTTAAGCTTACGTAGCTCAGCTGCTGGGTGAAAAAATGTCCAGTTTTCTTATCAATGAGAATTATATGTTAATAAATATCTTTGAAGTAAGTCTTTCAACAGCACATCACATTTTAAACTTAGAACATTTTATGAGAGTAGCACAAAACCCCCTTTCCCAAATCTACTCAAGCGAGGTTCAAATGAAGTACTGTTGTAATTATTATATTGTAATTACTGTGGATTTGAAGATATTGTAATTACTGTGGTATTTGAAGATATTGTAATTACTGTGGTATTTGAAGAGCAGTTAGCTAGAGGTAAATTACAAATTAGGCAGATCACATTGGCTCAGGGTGAAGAGAAATGTAGGCCACCTAAGCAAAAGTTATGAGTACATCATGAAGGCATATCAGAGTAAGACGAATGAGGTCAATTTGACGAGAGACGTTTAGCTAAATAATGATATGGTCTGATTTGGAGATCATTGTGGGGGTGTGGTTGGATCAGAGTGAGTCATGTAGGTGTGGAGAGGTTAAGAGCAGGGCTGAAGCAGGGGTTGCTGAATTGTGACAGATGCAGAGGCTGCATGTAGCATGTCGTTCAGTGTTGGTAGGGGAGTATAGGAGGTTGTTATTAAGCACTTTTGGTTAGTAAGCAGAAGGTCATCAAGGTGGTTTTACAGCAGGAGCCAGGGGATCTCAGGAGGATGCTGCATGAAAGGTGTACAACAAACAAGGAAAGTGCAGTCAAAACACTGGAGGTAGGGCTGTCACGATCATGAGTTTTTAGCTGACGATAACTTGTCATATCAATAACTACGGTTAACAATTTAATTGTCTTTTCTTCTTCATTGTTTGCAACTATAACAAGCCTAAAGTGACCAAATTGGCTGATTTGCCACCTTACCTGCTAGCTACACTATATGTCCAAAAGTTTGTGGACACCCCTTCTTATTAGTGAATTCAGCTGCATTAAGAGAGCATGCAGCACCAACCAATACCTTTGGCGTGAGTTGGAGTGGCATTTGTGATCCAGAATTAATCATCCAGTATCATTACCTGATCTCACTAGTGCTCATGCTGCTGAATGCAATCAAATTCTCACAGCAGTGTTCCAACATATAGTGTAAAGCCTTCCCCGAAGAGTAGAGACAGTAACTTTTGGCCATATGGTGTATGTTTTCTTAGTATCTAACACCGCTTGTACTGTTCAATCAATACTGCATGTGCGCACAACCTTACACAAATGTCTACAGATATAAAGAACTATGGGTAGAGTTCAGCAAAGCTACATGTTCTTCATGAGAGCAAAAAAATTACACTCATTCGGCCAGTGTACAAGCTAAAAATGTTAGATTAAGCTACATAGCTAACAAAGAAACAAACAGATCTCAGTGCTGCCCTATAAACATGTTAGAACTTTTTTTGTTTTCATAAGCCACGTCTCAAATAATACATTTGTCTTTTATTTATCTCTATTTGCCTCAACCCAACACACCCAATTCACATTTTGTTTGTTGTAGCGAAATATGACTGTGGAAAATAATTGCAGTCAGTCTGGATAATTGTGATAATCTTAAATAATTGAGATTAGGCGAGTAAGTTATAATTGTCACAGGCCTGTCAGGAGGTAAGAATATGTTGTTCAGCTTTGTATAGTGAAGAAAGCCATGCCTGTATCAAGCAAGTGACTTTAGAATTCATTCTGTGTTTGAAGTTAAGTGCCAGGTCATAGAATTGTTCTTTTAAGCTCTGATGAATATGAAAATTATATCTGCTACATTGCTACATCTGATATCATACTGTCAGAGATGTTGAAAAATGTGCCCCTGGTTGATTGGACATGTGGTGCCCAACCATAGCCCTGTAGATCTATCACTCTATCAGATCCAACACACCTGGCTCTAATATTTCAGTACTCCTGAAGGTCTTCATTACCTGGATCTGGTGTGTTGGTTTAGAGTTGGAGCTAAGCTCGGCAGGGTGGTAGATCTCCAGGACCAGGATTGGGCACCCCTGCACTAAAGCCAGAATTAAGTCAGGGGTGCCCAACCCTGGTCCTGGAGATGTTCTCACCATGCATAGTTCTTCAGGTACTTCCAGCCTTCTGTAACACACCTGACCCTTCTGATTAAAGAGGTCAGGAACATGAGAACATGAGAGGGGTAGATGTGTTAAGGTACAGTTGGAACTAGGGTGGATTTCCAGTAGGGTTGGGTAGCCCTGCCTCAAGCAGTATGATTTCATAGGAACCTAACTGAGTAATGCAGGCCTTAGGTATGCATTACTATGCAAAGTAATGCATGCCCTAGGTGGCATTCACAGGAATGTAGGCTTTAGTTTTTTTTTTCTTTTGGCTTTAGGTTGTCTGTTTAGCTATCCAGTGTCTGAACATTTCCATTTTGTATTTTTTCCACACAGGTCACATTTTTTGACTTTATAACAGGCTGCTGTAAATTATTTGTTAGCTCTGTAGGCTAATCAGGCTGTCTATCATATCCATTTGCCTTGAATTGGCAGAGGGCTTGATCTAGGGAAAGATCTACAGACTGCTTTTATTGCTATAAGCATGAACAGTAAGCCTGTTTCTTCTGATCAGAGGAGGTGCAGCAAACTAGATGGTTTGTTATGGATTAGCAGCAGTGATTTTAGTATGAATTTGACCGGTAGCTAGTCTAATGTGAAAATGACAGGGCTGACATTCTGTGGCTGGTTTCAGCTCTCTAGCTGCTATATTCTGATTTAAGAGCCTTCTGGAACATCTGGACAGATAGATATTTCAGTCACCCAATCAAAATGCTTGGGCTAGTGGTACAAGCATCAAGTATATCAGTATATTCAAGAAGGTACGTGTTTGAAATGTGATTTATGCCTGATTAGAAATGATTCTCTCTTTGAATTTAGATGCCAAGTCCTAGAATTAAAGAACAACGATTACATTTTCACATAGTACATTCTCCGGTGCATTTGTGTGTGAGCGAGTCACAATTAGTTACTGCCAGTTGCTGGTTCTGCAGGTATAGACTGCTTTCTGAGAGATATTGTACTGTGATGGATGTGAGAAATGTGTCAGTTTGAGGAAATGACACGAGCAAGCAGTTGTTACAGTGTGGCAAAACAGCTAGTGGTAGTGGAGGAAGCTAAGTTTGCTGTGAGATCTGTAGCTGACCTAACTGGAGGCATATTACCAGGATAAATGAAAGGGGGAAATTTCCATTAAGGGCTACACTTCATAACCGCATGCTATGTCACTGTTGGTGTAATATGCTTTCAGTGTGTTGAACTTGCAGTCCAATAAATGATCTGGAGCTATGTTCTTGATATCAGGGGCTGTTTTTAATAAACTAGCGGAGAGCCTGCTCAGTTGATCAGTAGCTGCATTCCGTGACACTAAGAGTTCCAGGTGGGGTACCAAGATCGTTCTCTCAAGGATTTAGGATGACTCTTGTTTTACCATTTGTTGTGTCCACTAACAGAACACTTAGAGGGTAGACTTGAGGCCTTATAGGCCTAAATTTTGTTTTTTTGTAGCATAAGTGGCATGCAGTAGAACCACACACATTGAGGGTCATCACAACACAATTAATG